AAACAATTATAGTCCCTTGAGATTTTTGTAATAGTCATTATTGTGAATTCGTCGCTGATTCTATCTATACACTTTGCTCCCATATGACAATAGACGTGCATGTAGCATGATATTTAAGACAGGAGGTGGGGTAGCTAGTTCTGAGAGCTTTCTAGGACCTTTCACCACATCCATGTCAGTGTGCCTGACATGTGGAAATAGGGTAGCTAGGGTAACACAGGCAAACACACAAACTGACGAACCGAAAACACAATCCCGTACACGGTGGTAACTATTCACTATCACCGTGTCTTCCCTTAATTTTTCCTAAAATTTCATTGTGTCTTTCCTTACTGTCTTTCCTTAATTTTTCCTAAAATGTTGACATAAAACGGCAATGCAAGGGTAACAGATTTGAAACAAGAATATCGTTCTCATCGTCTGTATAATGCCTTACATAATTGGAACGTACACTTCTGAATAACAATAGATCATAATTCTTGCCAACTAAGCTCACACACCCGGTCTACTTCAATTATACCAGGCAGATATAATTCCCCGATATGAATACAATATTCTGGTCCTTTCCTCCCGTATCGAACACTATATCAAATTAACCTGGCACTATGGCACGCAACGGGAGCTATCAATTATGAATTATGATCGAGTTGATATGAACTAGAATGCACCAGAACAATAGCAATCAAGGCCATTTAGACGGGAGGACCGGGATCACAATGAGAGTGAAAGGTCTCGTATGGTTGGGCATCCTGTGCAATCAATTTAATGAAGGTCTCTTATGATTGGTTATTCTGAGCAATCAGTGTAATGGATGTACACAGCAGAGCACGTATTGTGACATACAAGAGGCGCAATCAGTAGCCATGTCCATCATAGACCTTTCACATTCAGCTATACGGCTGTACAGATGTGATACTCGCTTTCCAGTGAGAAGTTCACCACTGAGATTGTTTTTAATGATAAATCATGCATGTAACTCATTTCATGTTACAAAATCCATACTTCAACTTCTTGTTTCTTATATATCATTATTTAGGATTATTCATCTACTATAATTTTTGGCATTGTTGTAATGTGAATGATAATAATATTTTAAAAAATCCAATACGCAACCAAAGACTCCCATTAGCACTTGAAACAAATTTCATCAATAAATATATTTACTAAGTAGTTTTGTATATGTTGCATGCCATATCATACTTTTATATTTTTAATCATATTCAATTAATAAATGTAGAAATCCAATTTTGAATTCTGTTATTTAACAATCTCTAACCAGTAGAAGGGGCTTCTGCAACGTTTTGTACTCAAAGAATCGTACCAAATCGTACTACGAATGCGACGTCTAATAAAGCATTAAAACACGAATTCTCCACTTGTAATAGAAGTGGTGAGGAACAATTGAATAGGATGCTAGGTACCCGCATACCCACCAAAGTCGCCAAAGTGAGCAATTTGTAAATGCATTTTCAAGAAACAGCATCCGGATCATATTAAAATCGATATTTTCCGTTATATCCCTATTCATCATTACTACCATACATACAACGGTAATATTGATACATTCCAGAAACTCACATTACCAATCGATAACCAAGTTCATTATTACACTCTTTAAGCCGTTAATTCCGCTGTTTTTCATCTGGCTTGCAAACAGTTATTCCACTTATCGGTTTTCTCGCATATGTTCTACCTTAATCCCTGGCTTAATGCGTTTATCTAGTATTTGCATGCGACAATTAGTTACAAGCTTACCGTGAGCTAATGACGTGATCTACATTTTTATAGTTCGTTACTGGGGGACCGTTTTTACATTTAGGAAGTTCATGCTGCAAAAGCAAATGCCAAAATCTGTTTTCCATTCTCCCCCTTCCCTCCTTCCTTCCACCCTTCCTTCCTTCCCTCCCTCCTTCCTTTCTTCCGTCCTTCCTTCTCTCCTTCATTCCCTCCTTCCTTCCCCCTTCCTTCCTTCCTTCCTTACGCCCATCCATACATGTTTAGAGCCGTTGAGATAAACTACATGTACCTGTACAAATTATCTAACAAGCATCCTCATAACATACCACTACATCGATCACTAGTACTACTTTTCCTATCAACATATTTTCTATCCTTAACACTGGTTACAGCTAAGACCTTAAGCCCTGCATATCGGGTGTTACACCAAAGCCTTCCATGATGTGACAGTAACGTGTGCGTTATAGCGTGGTCCTGCGGTTTGTTATGTGTCTAGAGAATTCTCCCTTGGGACGGAACCAAGCGGGTTGCTATGGTCTATATCATGAAGAATATCAAAAACATAAGTGATGAGAGATCATTTACATAGGCATATGCTAGAAGGCAACTATACATCAAGGAGATTTAAACTGTAATTTCCGCACAAGAGATTGGACTTATCCAAATTTTCGACTATACAGCTCCAATCTTTGTCAAAGAATGAGCAAGAGAGTAACATGTTATTGACAAGATATGTGTTATGAAGTCTGCAATTTTATAGTAGGATGGATTTTAGACTCCTGTCTGACCATATATATGAATGCAATTGAATGAGAATTAACAGAGCATATGCGTAGGTAAACATTGTGCATTTGCTTTGCAAATGTTATAAATACGTGCATCGGTGTCTCATATAAACTGTCTGTATAGCACGGAAACACATAATCAAATCATACGCTATTATTCTATACGGATAATTGAATTTCAATGTAGGCAGTCCGCAATGCCTAAGGCAAAGCGCTAACTCTGCCGCCAAAAACATTTCCACGGCCACTCATCACATTCATCTGAAATTCATGAGTCAAACGCGCACTTGTTTTCTCCGAACCTATATGCAAAAGATCATAATACTAGATACTGCATATGCCCCATGTATGGGCGACTTGACAATAAATTGACTGATGCCATAAACTTGAAAAGGTTGCCATATTCGGTAGAAATGCATAAAATGGATTTAATGTACCCTGTAGGAAGTTGGACTGTCCATCATGTTATTATAGCTTTTATTGTTTATGAATATGTCGGATATCCATGAAAGGGTCACTTGATACATGAACCCGATTTTTATTCGAAAGAAAATATTTCAGAAACAGAAAAAATAAGCAAAGGCGGCAAACCATCGGATGAAAATGTCCTATTTGTAGCTATCATACCTTTTTAAATCTATATTTTAGAAATGTATTTTTTTACATTTTTATATGTGCATTAATTTTTCTGATATGTATCACCTTGCTTCACACCTAGCTGAATGTTTAAATTCATTGTACATGTCACAAATAAAGTGACAATTAAGCAAACAAAAAAGTGCGAGTTCTTTTTCATCCGTACGTGACAATTTTCATAGACACATCTTGACACAATATGACAGAACCATTCTTTAACTGACTTCAAACAATTCTATGTGAAACTATCTTGACAGAAGACAATATCCGTCTTCAATGATAGAAAATGTAAAAAGAAAGACTCAGCCTCAAAGAAATCCTACAAAAAATTGGTGTTCCCCATCCACATAACAAGTGGTTCGTCCGTCCTTAAATGTCATCTCAATCATATTTCCGTTATTTGCAAATCCATTAAAAGTATTACAATGATAAAAAATTGCTTCAACCTCAAAGAAATCCCACCAAAAAATTGATGTTACCCAAAAGAAGAAACAAAAAAAAATTGATGTTCCCCATCCACATAACAAGTGGCGCGTCTATCAAACTTGACACGTTAATACAGCAGTGATAGCGCGAGGTGACCGCTCTATCAGGCTGACAGCCGGCCTTTACTGGTCCCCAGGCGGCCGTTTTCCCGCGCTCCTGCGGAGGGACCGCGACCCGGGCACAAATTGGTCCCTTTGTTTTAATAACATCCGCCGTATGTTACCCCGCAGGTTATGTTACAGCGGTTTGTCAAAGGGCTGGGTTTTATATGGAGGATGACCTCTGGTGACCTTTGCTTAAGGGCGTTCGCGTACGCAGTCTGGGAACAAGTGCTTTTAAAAAAAGCTGGAATTTTGGCGCGCTATCACTGTGACATGTTGTACATCTTACATATGCCACCATGCATCTGCTCGGAGATAAGTGAATAGATATGCCTCTCTACATCTACTTGGAAAAAACGCTGCACATATGCCACCATAGACATGAACAGGCTGAGGAGATGTAGAGTAGATCATTTTGATTTTAAAAAAATTGTCTTTAATGACATCCGCCGTATGTTACCCCGCAGGTTATGCTACAGCGGTTTGTCAAAGGACCGGGTCTTATATGGAAGGTGACCTCTAGTGGGAAAAAATGGGTTGGGCCATACCATCTTGATATAAAATGATACGTTTCTAAATGTTTCTAAAATGAGAAAAGTTGTTGGTGACATAGGCAATTAATTGCTCAAAATGATATCGGCAGAACATTGGGACATTGTTGCGATACAAACTCGTACCATGAAATGAGGCTTACGACATAATTCACATAATTACGCTTTAGATTAGAATGAATACCGTTTGTTATACCCCGCAGGTTATGCTATAGTGGTTTGTCAAAGGACCATTGTTGTATATGGAGGATGACCTCTGATGACCCTTGCTTAAGGGCTTCACGTAGACAGTCTGGGAAAAACTGGGTTGGGCCATACCATGTATCCTGATTAAAAGAAAAAAAAGATAAAGACATTTTTATTACACAAATGAGAAATGGCTGCCGTCTTCTATGACATAGGGAATTGCCCCAAATGAATGTTTTTTCCATTGAGGCAGTAAGTTGGCAGAAGATTAGGATGTTGTTACGATTCAACATAGATGAACTCTTCGTACCATAATTTTTAGAACATACGACATAATTCGCACTATGAATACAGCATAACATAATATATAACATATATCATGATATTTCTCAGCTTAAATCTGTATATATAAATCTATGATTTAATTAAAACTGTTTGCGGTAGTACTTTGAGTGAAAGATTTATGTTCATACTTGTGTTCATTTCCAGGATGGTGTCAGAGTAAAATCGGCCTGACGATGCCCGAATCCGTCCGAGCAGTACTCGGGTCTTCGGCAACCCTGTCGGCAACCTACGCCACCTCTCGACCAATCAGGTCCGTCGCCTGGTTCAAAGTGGATTCAAAAATCTCCTCGAAGCGCGACCCGGTCCTGGCCTTCTATCCGAGTTCCGGAACCAGTCCGGAAACCTTCGGTAATTTCCGTGGCCGGGCTCGGCTCATCGGGAAGGCTTCGTTAAGAGTCGGGTCCACGACGCTACAGGACGACGGGCTGTACGTGCTCGTCATTTCCGTTTCCGGTGTGGCCATCGAGGAAGGATTTGTGCGGTTAAACGTCATGGGTATGCAAATGAATCCATTCCGTTTTCTTTGTAAATATAGGCTCTTTTCCCACTAAGATAAAAATTCCTGATCGAGCCAAATACATTCGCTTTGATCCAGCTTTGATCCGGTTGGAAGCTGGATCGAAGCCGGATCAAATGAAAGAGAATCTATTTGGCTCGATCCGGAAATTTTAGCCTAGTGGGAAAAGGGCCATAGAGAAGTTCATCCACCGTATATGACGAATCGCTGTCTTTGTTTACATCATTTACATACAAGTTATTTGAAGGCATATACAAATTATTGGTATGCAAATCACCCAACTCTCTCTTACTTTTTGCCTCCCACTCACAGTTGTGAGCTTATGGCGATCACTCGTATGGAGTTTTCACATACATTTTGAGATTTAATTGATTTTTTTTTCATTTAAAGTGAATATTAGTTCATCAAGATATTGCTCATTAACAGACCTTAATGATAATCTTCTAAATTATTATCCTAGCAATGAGAGTACCAGTTAAGTATATAAATTCCCAATCACATAATTTGAGGAAAATTCTCAATACAACCAAGGAGCTTAATATATGGACGCCTCTTGTACTACCAATATCTAGACCACATCAAATACTAGACGAACGACAATCTGGAATTGGTCCCTCATATCATAATCCGCATATCAACTACTTTCATTTGCTGGCCTGCAAGAGTAGTACAGTATAATCAAAACAGTGCCCCCCTCCCCACCCCCACAACAGCTCGTCTCAGTATGTGCCGGAATTTTTCCCCTTTAACTTTCATAAGACAAAGAGTCGTTGCTTATTCTGGCTTCAAAACATGTTTCACGGCATCACTACAATGTTACATTGTAAGGATGGCTTATAAAACTAACAAAGGGAGAGAGTACAACGGATGTCACTCACCTTTGACAAAGTTTATGCCCAGAACTTTGTCGATTGCCATGTTGCTGACCTTTGACCCGAAGCGTTCGAAGGGACGGGGTCAAATGCAGGGTCACGCTTTTTATTATCACTATAATGTCATTCAAGAAACGGCACAATGTTTGAAACTATGCTACCTAGAAGAAATATTGACGGTAACCAAAGACCATGATGTGTTGAAAAACGCACAATTTTCTCCAAATTGACTCCACACGAATGCCATGCAATGTTTTGAAAATATATAATTTCAAAATTAAAAGTCCATCACTAAAATCTAGGACATGTTGAACGTTGAAGGAGGTGAATACCGACAAAGTCATGGAAGGGAATTCCTTCCAAATAAAAAAATTCAAATTAGCAAGTTGTAAACATGCACCTAGCTGGGGCTAACCAGAGCATTGCTCATTTCATCATTTCATTGTTTCAAAAGAACGTTAGAAAAATGTGCTTAACGATACTTGCGAATTCCATGTTTGCACACATACAGTGTATGTTTTCATGTCGCTATTTTACGCCAGCAGCCTTCAGAGCACGTTTTGACGCAAGTGTTGTAAAGCCTTAGCTTGTCACATCTCCCATGTCCGACCACCTTCGCCCCTTCCCCGGGTTCCAATATAAACGAACCCTATACATCTCTAGTGTTGAAAAAGGGCACATTTGTAGTCGAAATCCCAGACGTACTTTTGACTTTTGAATATCATTTCAAAAGCAATAAGTTGGTCACCGTAAAAATCTAGGAGATGTTGTTACCTATTACTGTATTGTTTTTTGGGGGGGGGGCATGATTTTGCAAATAAAGACTCTCATTGTTCGAAAAGAACGTTAGGAAAACGTGCTTAACGATACTTGCGAATGGCTGTTTCATACCTGGCACGTTTTGAAGCGTGTGTTGTATAGCCTTGTCACATCCCCCATGACTGTCATTTCCTGCCCTGTCACCTTTACCCCTGCCCCAGGTTCCAATATAAACGAACTCTATACATCTCCACTGACACCCTAACGCGTTGCGCTGGTCCCTCATCAGCTAGGGTCACTTTTTGTTATTTCGTCCCAGCCTGGAGCGGTTTCCTGTTTTGAAACTTTCCGGATGTATTTATTGTTGCCTCTGGCGCTTTATTTTCTTGGTAATTTTTTTGGAAAGGTCATCTTCCGTAGCCCCGGGAAACAATATGGCGTAACGAGGTGTTCGTATTCTCACATGAAGGTGGCACTGATGTAGTTAGGGTCATTGACACGGAATCTCAGTGACACTGAAGAGTCTCATATTCCTGTCAGGTTCCAGTGTTGTACCTACGAGAAATGCACTTTGAACCTATTTCCTCACACGACTCAATCATGAGCTTAGGTGAAAATTAGTACATAGCGTAGTCTAGAGACGCTCGTTCGGAAGGGACCTAAAACTGAAGGTCCCTAGTCTCCACCAGACTCCTTTGCAGGCTGAATAAATAGTAGAAATCGGCTAAGGGCATAAATCATTGGCCAGAGAAGTTGGCTGGCCATAGAGGGTCCAGCTTGCCAATGATGTTCCCCTCAGCCGATTTCTACTATTTATTCAGCCTGCAAAGGAGTCTGGTGGAGACTAGAAGGTCCCGAGGGCCAGGCCTTACGGACATTAAAGTCTCCACCATACTTATTGATACCTGAAGAAAGATGGCTGATGCCATCTGAAAGCTTTTCAAAACAGACCTAGTCCTATTTTAAGTCGTTTTTTGGTATCTCTACATTTCAGTCCCTCCGTCTGTCCAGGTCGGTCCCTCCGACCCTTACGTCACACGGTGGGGTAAGACCGTGTCTCTGACGTGTACGGTCAGGGGGTCACGACCCAACATTACGTCACTGTACTGGGAGAAGGACGGCAGCCGGATAGACGTCAACGTCATGAAGTATTTTGGCGGGAACCGGGAGATGCCGTCGCTGATGATCCGTCATGTGACCAGGGCGGATGCGGGGAGGTATACCTGCATAGCGGAACATCCGGTCAGGCCAGCGGCGGCAGGACTAGCGCTGCAGGTGTTGTGTGAGTAGGAAGCACTTTGTACGAACATATGTAAATTTACGACTCAGATATTGGCACAGTAGCGCACCAAAACCGTAGTGTGTTTTTGGCACACATTGACAGATTAACCAAAGAGGCTCGGTGGGCGTCACTTCACTGTCAGGGAAAGGAAGGCAGTGTAAAGTGTATTTCCCACAGCTTTAAACACAAATCACAACAGCTTAAAGACCCTTAAGATAAGCTTAGATTAGCGTCACAACAGCTTAAACATCCATAACAACGCCTAAAACACCCATAGCAACGGCTCAAATGTATATACCAACAGCTCAAACACCCATACCAATAGCTTAAACACCCATCACATTAGTTCTGTGTAACGTTAACGCAATTCAGAAGTACATTTATATGCTCCATTTCTGTAATACTGGTGGTTGTTTGAACGAAGAAAGAATAAGATAACAGCCAAAACACCCATAACAAAAGCTTATATATCCATAGCAATAGCTTATACACCCATAACAACGGCTCAAACACATGTAACGACAGTTTAAACAACCATGACAAAGCTCACATAGGCCCAGGGCTTTCCTGCCCTCTGTCCTTAATACCCCAAACGCATCAGCCCCAGAGCCTGTACAGAGTCTGGTATGACCATTTGGACGTAATAATAGTCACTCTGTTCACCGCAGCTACAGAAACTGTCATATCACAGAATAAACACCTGTTACAAATCTAACGTAAGCCCAGAGCTTTCCGATTCTCTGTCCTTTATACCCTAAACGTATCTGCCCCTGAGCCTGTACAGAGCCAGGTATGACCATTTGGACGTAATAACAGTAACTCTGCAGACCACAGCTACAGAAAGTGTCTCTTATCGTGAAATACCAGACAGGGGGTACGCTTCCTCCTCACGCAGCTATGACGAAGGTCCTTTATGTCAGGATTATGCCACTGTCAGGATTTCCTCAACAGCTCTATAGCAGGGACCACAAACGGGGAAGCTTTATACTGAGAAGTTAGAAACGGTCAAGATATTTGTCATCTCGTTTCAAACTTCCATATTATTGTGTAAAGCACATTGTGAACAATGAACGCGGTGCATGACTGTCTATTTAATGTAAATATTACGATACGTATCCAGCATATATTTATATTTCTATACCGCAGTGGATACATCTTACGCAAGTCGTTAGAGCCAGGTTTCAGGAATCTGTACGTGCCCCATTAATAATGTGATCTGTGGACTTCAACAGTCAGCTAAGTTAAGTTACAAACATACGGCGTACAATCAAATACCAATATGGTGGACGCTACATGACGTCACACTCACGTGACTGTGTTGTCTCTATCAAACAGTTCCGCCGTCCATCATCAAGTAGCTTCCCTTTCAAAATAATTAACCATCTTCTTTCTTGAATCAACTAATCCCCCCCCCCAAAAAAAAACATGGCGGGCAGACAGATACTAATATGGCGGACGCTATCTGACGTCACACTCACGTGACCGCGTGTTCCCTATCCCACAGTTCCGCCGTCCATCATCAGCATCTCGGACTCTGTGCTTGCGCACCTGGACGAGCGCGTCACGCTGCAGTGCGTCGCCGACGGCAACCCCGCGCCCAACATCACCTGGTTCCGCGCTGGTAAGGGTCTTACTTTACTTCATTCATTTATTTCTTCCTCAAACATACATTGACAGGGAAATACACACATATACATGTCTATATACCCTGAATTACGTAGGTTTGTTACAAAACACTGTGCTAACTATATGTGCTGAATATCACATGTGCATGAGACTGACAAAGAGTCTTACTTACTAACTTTATCCGTCCACTTCTACTGTCTGGGGTGTCGTGGGGAGGGACAGTTGACGGCCGACGGCTAGTCTAGAAACCGTTGTAGTACATGTTATGCCGTGCCTATTCAGGGTGCCTATTCAGGGTGTCCTTCACACTCGCTATCCATGTCTTGAGTCATGAAAAAAAACAATTGTGAGATTGTGCTTTGGAATGATCTACCACCTCACATTAAGATACTGCGTGATCTACCCAGCTTCAAGAAAGCTATTATTCAAACAGTGTCAGCCAGCTAGATCCTCAACCGCTACTTTTTGAATTTGTAATGTTGATCTGTGTGTAAATTGTTCATTTGTGATGTAAGTATGTCTTTCTAAATGTATTTACTTACTTTGTCTGTGGCATGTGCATTTGTAATTATGTCATTTGACTTTGAGCCACCGTACGATCTGCTTGGAGATTAAGCATTATGTACATATTGACCAAGATAAACAGATACAGATTCGGGGCATGATAGAAGCATGTTGAAAATTTCTCTACTTTAATTGTCCCAGGTAAGACGCTCAGGTCGTCCTCCAAGTCGCTATCTGAAGACATCCGCACGAGTAACGTGGTCCTAAAGCGGGCACAGTACAACGACACGGGCCTGTTCTCCTGTACGGTGGACAACGGCATCGGCGATCCGGACACTAAAACTGTCAGGCTCTCCGTCACACGTGAGTACTTCTTCCTCTCATTCCTCTAGACCAGACGTCTGTCACTATGGTAACCCATACTGTGGTGTTGGGTTACATTATGTAACAGTACAACGACACGGGCCTGTTCTCCTGTACGGTGGACAACGGCATCGGAGACCCGGACACCAAAACCGTCAGGCTATCCGTCACACGTGAGTTTGTTTATGTTTACCTTCACAGAAGGCTCACTTTCCTGGCCAATCACTGTCCCTATTTGTGCTGAATCTTACTATCCATAACCCCTTAGGAAAACGTATTGGGGGCTGTTTGATAGCTGTGATGTTTCGAATACGGCAAAACTTTTTTTTACCGTTCTCTGTTTTCTTTTCTTTAGGCAACGTCTCCTCTGATCATTTTTTTTATTATTGCTGCTGTTTGTAGTGTGTGACTAGATAAACTAGCCAGGATGGCATCCTTTTTGAATCTAGTATATTCTTGGCATCCATACTCGATGCCTGTGATGTTCCGAAAATGGTCAAACTTTTTACCGTTCTTTCTTGTCTCTCAGGCAAGCGGTTAGGTGCGCTGGACGGTGCTACTACTGCGATCATCATCGGCGTGGTTGTGGGCGGGCTGTGGCTGCTGGTGTGCGTCATCCTGACGGTGTGTAATATTTTAGGTCTAGTTTTGTCTCTCAGTGTCGCTCTCTCTCTCTCTCTCTCTTAACCAGCAGTTTAACACTTAGTCACGGAGAGAGTTACGATAGATCTAGGATAAAATACAGATGAGCTACTACAAGCTGTACAATCTACTAATCTAAGTATACAGAGAGCTACAACTAGACACGTACACGTACATGTACCTTAGTCCGGCTGGGTCACGAACTGAACTAATAGAGGAATCGTCCAAGCTCAACTATGCTGACAATAGTTCTTCACTGATTGGTCACTCTCACTAAGCAATCAGGACCTACCTATCACGCTAATGTATGTAAATGTCTTTTTCCCTATGGTCACCTACTAATTATGCGTAACAAATGTCATGGCCGTTACAGGTGTATTTCGTGCGGAGGCGCCAGGAAAGGGTCGAGAGGAAGAAGTTCTCCTTCTACTACGACATCGGGCGGAGGAAGCCCCTCCCTCCGGAGGCGGGTGGACCCAAGGCACAGGACTTCGGACCCCTGCCTGACGTCCCTCTACCAGGTACTCACTCACTCACTCACTCACTCACTCACTCACTCACTCACTCACTCACTCACTCACTCACTCACTCATTCACTCACTCACTCACTCACTCTCACTCTCACACATTGACTTACTCACTGATTCACTCACTCACTCATTAATATATTCACTTACTGTCTCACTGGATCACTCACTCATTCTTTCAATCACTCATTCATGGTACAAAAAATATATAATTCTATAACAGGTCAAAAAAGCCAAAGCCTAAACCTGTATTTGGAGAGTATGAAATATTCACTTGTCTTGGATAAACTATGAGCTGGCTGAAGTTGCCCCTATATCATTTCGTAGAGCAGACTTGTGTATTAATTTCTGTCACATCTCACAACACAGATTGAGAAATTTCGGCCTACATAAAAAAAAGCTGAAACGACTTTTGACTTCTCCTATCCCTCTATTGCAAGTTTACCAGCGTTTAAAGTTTTTATAACGCTAGGCTGCCAGACCCTTATAGGCGCATATTACAGCCGAGGCGATATTATTCCGGCAATATAACGTCCCCAGGCGTCGGTGTACGATCTCGTCACATATAAAATACGACCCCCGAAGACAAGGAGCGCACTAGGCACTCAATCTTCTCACTACTTGATAAACATCCTGTTATAAAAGTCACGGAAACCGACATTGATCTCAGAATAGTTTCATAATACCTGACAGGTAGCGATGACAACATATCTCAAGAGTCCTGCAGGTTTCATATGTGGATTCTTAAATCTTTTACCTATGGGGGAAAGGGTGACCTAAGGCATAAATAAGGGCGTAAATATGCTAATAACATAGTGCGGAAAGAAGCCCCCAAGTTTAGTGCAGTCCCGGAACGTTTAAGCCCCCTCCTCCAAGAGTACACACTAGAAGAGATACACGATTAGTAGACATAAGTTATATTCAAGTTGTCCCCAATATTTCTGCTTTGTATTGTTTGTTTAAATTGTGTACATTTCTTTGTTATTTTTATGTAGTATTATATCTTTGTTAATTATTTTATGTTCGATGGCGGCGCTTATTAACTGTGAGTGCGTCGCCATCAAAGACTTGTATTTTCTTTCATGTGTTTTAATAAAAAAAGAAGAGCACGAGATATATGTGTACTCATAACTCTAGACCAGCAGTATGAAAGTAATACCCGCACAATTCTAAATAATGAAGACATAAATCGATGGGAGCGAATTCATGCATCAGAAAGTTAGCGAGCATCCGTTTCTAATTTTAGGACGGATAGATTTGTCTTAGTCTTTATTGTTCGCAAGTCTGTCAAGATATAATGATTTAAACTGAAGACGCTAGGCAGCGAAGCGTCTTTTCATAAAGTTCTGTAAGAAAGGCCAAAAAGCAGTTACTCAAGCAACTGGATATGATTTTGGATTTTCCAAACCATATTATCCAGTTGCTTGAGTAATTGCTTTTAGGCGTGTCTTATTACCTGGATGTCTAACCTTCATCGACGTATCTGTAAGAAAGTTTCAATGGTTAGATGCTAGAGAGTTCAAAGGGGGGAATTACATTTTGAAAGCATATTAGACTCTTGGTCGCGATTCAAATGGAATATGACGTAAACAGCATACAAACCAAACGAAAACAAATTACCCGGTTCATTGCAACAGCGTACTTGAGCAGCCGCTCTTAAGCCTTTACGGCATGATGATTGATGACGTCATTAACACGTCACACGTTCCAATTACCCCCCACTTTGATTGGCTGACAGGAGAAACACGTACGCACGACCCGATCAGCTCCTTGTGCGTTGTATCTCTCCCGGGACAAACGCATTTCCTTGACTCGAACATCGTGAAGAAAAAGCCGTGTAATATGTTAGCCTCCGTACGAAGCAGGCTTATAGAACTGGGAGTTTGGTGGTCTTCGGCTGTTTTCTGATTAGCCCAGTTCTTAAAACGGGGATAATTCAACCAGGTCGGCTATGTTGTTTACATGCAATCGGAAAATAGCACATGAAATCTCCCAAAGACCCTAATATGTCAGCATCGCCCGCGCGCGACCCTCCTCAGATCGGGACGGCGATTATTCCCCCATTCCACTTAGACGGCGCTCTCACGGCGCTCTCTCTGCGACCTGAAATTGGCCAGAGCGCGGAGATCGCGCCAAGGTCGCCATGGGAGCGCCGTGAGAGCGCAACGAGTGCCATGAGCGCCGCCACCTCGGTGACTGTTTGGAACCGGACCATACCATCGCCGTGAGAGCGCCGAGGACAGAGATGCAACAGTGAGCGCCATGAGAGCGCACAGAGAGCGCCATGAGAGCGCCGTGAGAGCGCACAACGGCCCCAACATTAATTTGGATACAAAACCTGGCAACCTCGGCGCTCTCATGGCGCTCTTGACAATTTCAGGTCGCAGAGACAGCGCCTTGAGAGCGCCACTAGAAGTGGAATGGGGGTATTATTAGGGAACGGTAACCGTGTAATATGTCCGCATCGCCCGCGCGCGACCCTCCCCAGATCGGGCGGGTGATTAGTGATTCCGTTCGCGCCGCCGCCGCAGATTTGTGGCACGGTCTTCATACATCACGCTGATCTCATAATGCCACCGCTGGCGCCGGCAATATTGTCACACCTCTGCCTACATCCATCCTCAGATATCACGATTGTGATTCAAAGTAGGGCAGGCCGCTGTCGTATTGTTTGGAAAGTTACATGTGTAATGCGTATCTCGTACATACTTGCGTTAAACGTTATGGCGATGTGGGTTTGGTTCAATGCTTTTATACGCCTAGAATGTTAACTACATGGGTGTGTCCGTATATAAAACTGTTATAAAACTATACATATGTACATTACATACACATAAGTCATAAGCAATATTGTCACACCTCTACCTACATCCATCCTGAGATATGACGATTGTGATTCAGAAGAAAAGTTTTCTAGGAAAAGTTTGGTGGCCCTAGCGCAAGCCGTTCGGACGTTGTCTGGCATCAAAGTTGGCGCGGGCACTTTTAGCCCCCCCTCCCCACCCCCCAGTCTAGATAGGGTTAAGAACTTGGCTTATAACAGGATTCACTCTCACATGTACATGTAATCCCTGTTTTAGTGTTTTCAAAAGCTACATATATCTTCATAGCAGCATAAGTGGTTATAATCTTGCAGTCTCAATGAAGTAGAAAATGACCACCTTGTTATTGTGTTGTTCCTGACAGATAAGCCTAAAAAGCCGTCAGCCCCCTGCGCAGGGATCAACACCATGAGACGTGCGACGGCACACAAAGGTTAGTATCAATCCGCGGGATGAAAGTAGTGCTACCTGCCTTGATCTAAATTTTAATACTGTGCGGGTCCTTTCTTGCGCTCTTGATGTAACACTTGGAACAATTAAACTCTTATCCAACAAAAAATGAACTCACCGGAATTTTTAGCGAATCACAGTCTTCTCCATCTGTCTGACCAAAGCACCCAGGAAGAGTGAATTTATGTGACATCACAATGGGTCAAAGGTAGTTGGAAGTCGATAACGGCCCCCGTCCCGGTTGAGATAGAACTTTTGTCTGAAACGTAGAAATATTAATCAATCACATTAGTTACATATTCATGCGCCATAAATACAGCAAGTTACATTTAGCTACTATAGTAATAGGGAAAATATGCTATGTTTTGTAGCTATAATTTACGTGCTTCTATCTTTGTAAAACTTGTGTCGACGAATTTATACCGCTATTTTCTCCCCAGACAAGAGATACGCCAAAGTCCTGTACACCTTCCGGCCGCGGGAGGAGAACGAACTGCACCTGGAGGCTGATGACATCATCGAGGTTCTGGAGGGGGAAGATGGCGGCTGGTGCTTGGGTTACCTGAGGGGCAGGATAGGCCTGTTCCCCTCCAACTACGTCACGTTTCTCACCACTAGAGAAGGTAGGAACGCGCGTTAGAGCAAGAGAACGTGCTTGCTAAAGAGTAACACAGAGAAGGAAAAATAAAGTTTTAGTTTAAGAGAACTACAAGACGAGATCTTACTGGGTTAAGGAAGAAACAGTGTCTCCCCAAAGTAGCAAATGAATCTGTTGTGTGTAGCTATAGTGTTTGAAAAATATTCGTCAAACTTTTTAAATTTGTACAAGGCAATGATAGGATTGATTAGAGTGTCTATTATTAGATAAAACAAATGAACTAGAAAAAGGAACGCAGTTCACCAAAAGGTTATATCCATATACGGTACTAACTTCATTAACCTTGCTTGAAATTTTCTTTTGTGTCTTCAGCATCTGTCTTCAAGTCAGAGGGGTCCAGCGATTGCGACGAAAAACGTTCCAAGCGGAACACGTAGGTACTGCAGGAGAGGAGGAGCCTTCAGCAGGAGTACTTTGTGCTTTAGTTCATATTATATATAATAGGAATGATACGTGTATGTTTATTTGTACACATCACTAAGTTCAACACATTTGACTTATTGTTAACTCGCATGAGACTATGCCTTTGAGATATCACAACTCGATGTACAAAATTAGACAAGAACAATCTCAACAAGTCCAGTTGTACACAGCCCTTGTTAGGCCTGTGCTGGAGTACGGCCACGTGCTCCTAGTGGGTTGTAGTAAGAAACAGGAACTGTCTCTCGAGAGAGTGCAGAGGAGAGCCTTGAAGATCATCTCTCTGGGGAGAAGGAGGAATGTTCCCGACCTCCCTACACTCCGAGAAAGACGGGAACTTGCGGCTGTCAAGTTGTTCAAGCGCATACTCAGCCCTGACCACCCACTACACGATTTGGTACCGGGAGCCAGGTCGGACAGCACAGGGAGGTGTTTGAGGAACTCTGGGGGAATCACGGTGCCCAAGGCACGGACAAACAGACTGTACAACTCGTTCCTCCACTGCACAATCAGATTGTACAATAGCCAAACGCAGACCTAGTGTTCTAGTGTTTCATGTCCCACTTTTGTATGTAATTGTCTTGTGCATTTCTATACTTATGTAAAGTCCACACAATTCAGGAGTACTACGTACCCCTGCTATGTAGACTGTTCTTAATAAAATTGAAAATTGAAATTGAAGTAGGTTCAAAAACTGTCACCTATCCTCAACGAAATTTCGTAATTCGTTTGTTTTTGCTTTTTGTTATTTCGTTTGCAGAGTGACAGGTTGTTTGGTAAATGAACTTTTGGTGTAAATAGAAAAGAAATGTGGGAACGATCGAAGAACAAAAGCAGTGTTTGAAATACACAAGAATGAATAGACCTTAGGTAGTTAGTACAACAGTGTACAGTTTTGTATATCAGACAGCTACTAAGTTTCGTAATGCCTTCACAAGTATATATATATTACGTCTTTATTGATTTGTCGAACGTTTGACGATGACTTAAATGAATAAGTGGCTGAAAATTAGCAGAATTTTTGTTGTTTTACAATTCTGATCTATAGGCACATACGGTCATTTTCTGTCAGCTGGTTCTGTCACCTTTCACTGCATATGAAAGGTGATGTACTCACTCGTTCCCAGTGTGTTTTATTGGGAATGGTACTGATCCTTAACGCCATCTATGGAGTACTATATGAACTGCATGGAGTTTGGTAGAAAGGATTTCGCATTGTTTTATGCAGTAAAAGTGTCTAACGATAAGGTGCAGTACTTCTACCATGTAAATTATACATACCAACATTGACATCTGTAACTAACCAGTAACGAAGGTAAGACGAAATTTCTACGAACAGCAATTTTCGATACGACTTCCAAGCGTGATTCATCGTAATGGTGCTACTTTCTAGCGCCATCTGTCGAGAACTACATGAACTACAAGGACACTGCCCCTCTTCTATGTTCTCAGTACACTAGTACATAAGATACTAATTCTGACTGTTAAACAGACACAAATCAATGTTGCACTTTGTTACATTTGACTCAGTTTACTTTGATATGATATGATATGATATAGTATATATAGTTTCTGTTATGTTGAATCATTGTAATACATTGTAATAAAATTTTCAGAAACACCTTCCATCATTCTCCTCTTCAGTGGATTATCAGTTTAAAGGAAAATTGGTGTTAATGATTACTGGTTTACTAGATTTGGAGAATATTTGAGTCTAAGATTATAGTAGAAATGATGTACAAAAGGGTACATACCCATAGCATTGAGTTTTGTACGGTCTTCCACAGTTACAAACAATCAGTTGGCCAAAGCTAAACCAGCTTTTATAATTAACAAATGTTAATCTATTAATGACGTAATCAGGATGACAAAAGTTGAAATGTCACAAATGTCACAAAAAAGTTGAAATGTCACAAATGTCACAAATTGTTTTACAAAGTGAATATACTGTGATTTATTTCTAGTCCCAAAACAATATAATTAGATTGATTCGAGTAACAAAAGCGACCAAACAGATAGTGATAAATGTAATACGGCAACTTCATAGAAATGCATGGTTTGAATACACGCTTTAGAACTATTATCAAAGCATTGCATTGCGCTTTCCTCAACTAATGAGTTGCCAGTTACGTTGCAATTTTCATGATATAAAACAGCAAAACAGATACATGTGATGCATATAGAAGTCACATGGCAACTTTTCGGCTACTTTATAGCAATGCCCAGTCTAAATATAATCTTTGGCACTATAAAATAAGTATAATAAAAAAGAACACAGCCGAAGAATTGCAGAAAATATGAACAAAACAGTGATCAATTTACACTCACCTGATAGAGATAAAAGTAATCTGGCAACTTTATAGAAACGCTCAGTTTGAATATAAGTCTTGGTACTATAATGAACACTGCATTGCGTTTTTTTTTTTCAACTAATGAGTCTCGCACCTTACGTAGGAAAATACATACTATAAAATACTGTAACAAAATCCAATTTACACTCGCCTGATAGAGATAAAAGTAAAATGGTTACTTCACAGAAATCTCTTAAATCTCTTAGTTAAATTGAATAAATCTTTTGTACTATGTAATGAAAGCACTTCGTTGTGTTTTTTCAAGTAATGAGTCTTCTACATTACGTGGAAAGTAAATACTATAAAATATTGTAAACATAAACAGCAAGAGTTAAAGATATTTTGCCTATTTGCCTGCTCATGCATATGCATTGTTCTCTTTACATATGGCATCAACTTCACTGGATCCCCTGTATCTACGTTTTGTTTCTTTACTGACAATATGAGGGGTCTTTGATCGTCGTTCCATCCAACCATGTCTCAGTGTTCCTGGTCATGTATTGATGGTAGGATTTTTTTTCACCTCGTCCACAATGATGCCAACTGATTCTTATGAACGAATTAGTATGATTTTAGACTCTTGCAAACGTAGGGAAATTTGCGGAAGCATTTGTTGTCTTCCCACTTCCCCCTTGTCCCCCATTTCGTGAAGAAGTAACCGAAGGTCTGGTCGTCCTGTTGAAAACATTACATACACAAACGAAAAGTAGTGTTTTAGGTTTGTATTTGTTTTTGTGAATGTATCGCAATTTTGGTGTGTGTAATCATGGCTGAATGGTTTATGCTTCATCCATGCTTATACAGTGCACATTCCGGGTCACAACCCTGCCAATCAACAGAAATCCTAATCTCAACAAATCTCTGCCCACTCACTTTTATAATATATGATGGTAGGAGTGAAAGGCAATGGAACAATATGACTTAAGACTTACCCTGGAGTACAGACCACCGCATTTCCCGTAGAAAGTACTGTCCGGCCGGCCCCGGGCCCAGTTTGTGAAGACAACAGGCGAGCCATCTGTCCACCTCCACCCTTTTCCCTTGCGACGGTTCAGCCCAAACCAGACAAGACCTCGTAAATTCCTTTTAGATGCTGCAACAAAGGAAACATACTGCAATTTGTTAATTGCCCCCCCCCCAACACACACATACCCCACAACACGTGGCTTCTTTGAACTGTGACGTCAACACTGGGTCAAATGTACCTGGCAGACGATGTCGGCCCCCGTCACGGTTGAGTGAAGGGTGATGGGCCTCTTTCACCCCTCTCAAGAAAACCCCACATGTTGACGTCACACTTCAGGAAAGCCACGTGACAAGTCTCACTGAGTCAGTCTTTTGAGGACGACCAAAGTGACTGGTCGAAAGCTCCAGGTGAGAACCATTCTTTGTCTTGGAACAAAAGACCACAGTACACTTATAGCTACCAACACATATGGACTTTCATGATGGTAAATATCCATATCTTTATCACCCACCAGTGGAGATAAGACCTGTTAAGAGGCGATTCTCGTCAGCGTCCAGGACAGAAGCCAGATTTGCACCGAGTTGTCTACATCGTCGGTGTGCCGTTACCCACTTGACTTGGCGGCGCATTAACTTGTAGCAGTGGTGGTTGTACTCAGTCCAGTCACTCTGGCATCGCCCTGATGCTGTGCCGTAAGCTAAAACCAAAGGGATTTTAGATTTTGCTGTCAGTAGAACTTGACTCAAACTTAAAACCACAGTCACATACGTGGTCCAACAGATTTCGACCATAAAAAGAAAGACCTCCATGATCACCAGTACAATTAAGCAAATACAAGTAGTAAGGCAAATCAAAAGAAAAAGAAATTAAATATTTTTCCGAAGTTGAGATGGGGGAGTAAGAGGAACAGTGAAAATAACAGCGAAAAAGAAAGAAAGAGGAGGCATGGCAATGAATTACAATATGATCTATAAGCACTATGTATTGATGTATGAAGCCCATATCCATGTCCACATTGCTTACCTGTGTACGACAGAGGTTTGTCGGTGTTTGTAAACGGAGAAGAAGATAGATAGGAATTGTCGACAGACGAACTGGTTTCCTTGTAGAAAGCTGTCAGCCATGGATCCGGAGTGTGTGTCTTTTGCATGTTCATCCCAATCGTCACGTCATCTTGGTTCTTTGACTCTGGTATTTCCTAGGAAGAAAGGAAGGAAGAAAGAAACGCAACTCTATGATTACATAATGGCTTATTGTCAACTTGAATGTTGTCCGCAGTTTGCTGTGTGGCTGAAATGGACCTCACAACAAACTCGATTCGGCGTTGGTAACAAAGTAAGCTGACACACATACACACCATTTCTAATATTGAAATAAAAAGTTCATAAAGCTAATATAGCCTTCATTCTGCTGGGAACGTGAAACTCAGATTATACCATTAATGTACTGTCACCCAAGGCTAATGCCATTGAACGTTTCTTGGCTCACCTTCGTTCCTGGTACCAAATGAGTGGCCAGGGTTGCAGCGATGACAACAGACACCGCCACCACAAGGCCGCAACCCAGGACAAGCCAGCAACATTTGGCAGATTTCACAGTGGTCCACATTTCCATGAGACGATCTTCGATGATAGGATATAAAATGTTATAGCAAAATAG